GAAAAAGGAAAAATTAAACCCAACAAATTTTTTTTTTTTTTTTGGGTGTGTGGTGAAGAGCAACAAATTATCTTTGGTGTGTCCTTATCAAGTTACTAATTACTGCCTGGCCCCTCAATTGGCCCATTAATTGACAAGAACACGAATTTGGTGGTCATTTATGTAATTGGCCCATCAAATTAAAATAGGTTTGACTTGGGGGAGGCTGGTAAAAGAAGAAACAAAAAAGCACTAAAGAAAAAAAAGGTTACTATCATGAATCATCCAAGTATGAAACCATTTCAGGGAAACAAAGGCGGGGCTCCTATTTTTGGTGAGGTACGTGGGTCAGTGACTCAGTGCTGGGGACATGCATTCACCAAAGTTTTCTTCTTTGTTTCTGCTGAATTAATTAATATTTATATTGTTACTGTATCGGAGCTCGGAGATTATAATGAAACATTCAGTATTTAAGATTTTTTTTAGCTTAATCGTGGTTTAACTGTTATAAATCACAAAATTTTAAAATGCAGTAAACAATTTTTTTAATCGCCCTTCTCCCTACAGTTGAACATATGAAATCTTCGGGCTCACATATTCTCACTCTCTCCTTTCATTCGAGTAGCTTCGTTCCTTTGGGTCGAATCACGGCTACGATAAAGTTTTGCAACTACTAATTATATAATTGTCCTAAATTAAAATCCGCCGCCTACTAAATCGAATTTTGGATTATTCATTTCATCTTTGCCAAGCTAATTCTAAACTCTGGAAATAAAAGCTTCTTCCTGTCATTGTACTCAGCTGTAGACTGTAGTGTCATTTTAATCAAGCACTAATGACTACTACAATGCCAGTTATCTGTCTAAATAAAATATAAAATCAACCAAATTCCAAATAGCACGATCACAATTCACACCTGAAAAATAATTGAAAAATAAACCAACTTCTTGCTAACCCTTAAAAGAAGTTAGCACTCTATCTTCTCCATCACGAGGAGCTTTGAGCCTTTAGTTTGCCGTCAATAAAATATGAGCAGGTAATTACAAAAAATACTCACACAACAAAAAGAAAGGTATTTTATTCGCACAAAAAAAAAGGTAGACAAACACAACCCGTTACATACAAAAAAAAAATGAAAAGAAGATAATATGATTATGAACACACAAAAAGAGATATTATGAAAACAGAAAACAACAAGTTGCTGCCCTTGTCCCCACCAAAACAAACGAACGTAGGACCAGAATGAGCGACTCCATTTCCTAAAAAATCACTTGGTGCACAATCCCCGAGCATCACTCGCTATACACAGCAGCTAAGTTAATGATTCCACAACCACCAATCATGCTGTCCGCCCGGCGCCACCATTAATATTGCACTATTGCAGCTCTCCACGTGGCCGCCCCGCGGCGGCGATAGCAACAGAATTCCATTTCCTCACGTCGGTGGCGCGTGATCGTGATGATCCTCCGTCGACGTCCCTACTCCGCCGCTGCTGCCACCGTCGGGGACTGGGGATAGCGAGGAAGACCATGCCCGATACGATACTAGGGAGTTGTCGTATTTGGGATTATTATTATTATTATTATTATTATTAAATTGAATAGGGAGAAGAGGCGGGGATTTATAGGGTTTGGGGCAACGCGTTAGCGACTTAGCGAGTTAGCGTTCATCTAATATGTTCGGACGAGGAATTGGAAAGAGGGGGCCAAAGTCTGTAAGACGCGTTAATTTTAGTGATCGATTTTGTAATTGTCCCATGTTAAGTACATGGACTCGGAAGAGGGGCAAAAGAGGAAAGTAAAGAGAAGGGAAGAAAATAAAGGTTTACTTAGAGGTCGTTTGGAGAATATGAGTTTAAATCTACAGATTGTCAACAATCTAAAGATTCTAACTCTTTGGATTGTTGAAAACAGATTTTAAAAAGTTTATTGTTTGGTAACTGTGATTGTTAACATTCAAGTAAAATAAAATAAAAAAAATTTATATTAAATAACATGTTTATCCTTAATAAAAAATTAGAGTGGTTCGAGAAATATAAAAAACTTTGTTGATAAATATATTTCATGTGATAAATAAATAAAAGAAAGAGAAAAATTAGGAGAGAAAAAATCTCACGAATCAAGATATAAAATCTCTCTGATTACGAGAGATTTGATATCCACAGATTTTAGAGATTTGAAATCTCTAAAGTTAGACTCCACAATACAAAAAGCAACAAAAAAAACATAACTTTCTACAAAATATACGGATAAAGTGAATCCATGTCCTAAATCCCGTTCTCCAAACGGGGTTATGAGTTACTACTTACGACCAAAGAAAAAGGAAATAAAGGTTGGTTCCTATTTTTGGTCTGGTGGGGCAATATTGTTCGTCAGTCTTTGAGTGTGTTGATTAATATGCTCAATTGATCAATCTCATGGTGGAATTACTTGATTACAACATAGAATAAATTAAAACACATCAAATAATTACTTATACTTGTCAATAGATTACTTTAATCACCAAGACAACACAAATATCATGATTGCGTAATTGATCAAAGTCAACTATCGAAAATCATACAAAAGAACCCGGTAGACACCCTAATTTCTTCCATTTGATTCCCTTCCAATAGCACGTGCACAAATCAAAGAGCGAATTTGGTCATTAATCTAGTTGGTCATCCCCCTCCCCCCAAAGATATCCCCAGAGAGGAATACATCAGATACAACATAATAAGGGGACCTTTGCGGGAGAGGGCTTTTTCGCCACGAGATGGACAACCCTATATACTTACGCGGGACGAAGTGAAACGAAGAATGTTGAATGGTAGCTCGAAGGACCCGAACTTCAGATAGAAGGCTGCCAACAACTGCATGTTCATCACCATAGAATGAGACATTAGAGATCGAATGTGAAAGACACCAACTGAGTGCATCTCTGAGAGCCGCGAGTTCAATGATAAAGGCGTCATCTAGATAGTCATAAAACTTCCCAAAAGCAAAGTGAATGTCGCTTGTCCCTGCGAAACCCACAAAACCCACTCTTCCCCCAATGGTAGATTTTGTTGCTCCATCAAAGTGAACTAAGATAGAACCTTGAGGTATTGGAGGAGGAGCAGAATGGCGAACCCCAGAAGGAACCGACTGAGAGGCGACGACTACTTGATGCAGCTATCTAGGGCTGCAAACGAGCTGAGTTGAGTCAAGTTTTTTGCTTAGTTTGAGCTCGGATCGTTTATAAATGTTTTAGCTCAAACTCGGCTCAAACTCGAATTTTGATAATTCAGCTCGAGCTCGGTTCGATTAAAAATAATTCATCTCGTACTCGACTCGATATAGCTCGGTAAATGCTCGTTAACATAGCTTGTCAAGCTGAGTATAAGCTTGGCTCAATATTAGCTCGTTTTGAAATAATTTTTGGTAAAAAATTGGTATACATAAGAATACAAATGATAAAAAGAACACTAGAAACTAAAAATGACAGCTAACTTCTATACACATTCGTATTAACAAGATAATGTTCATGTTCAGATGAGTAATTAATCCTTTCACAAGCTCTAAACAAGCAAGTTTGCGAGCTTAGCTCAACAAGCCACCGAGTTAAACTAGCTCACGAGCTTATCAAGCTGAGCATGCATGGTCTAGCTCAAGCTTGGCCTGTTTACTAACCAGCAAGCTCGCGAGCCGGCTTTTTAAAAAACAAACCGAGTGTCGAGCGAATTTTTTCTGATTTGAACGTCGAGTTGCTCGCGAGCGACTTCGATCGTTTGCAGTCCTAGATGCAGCCAAAGTTGCTTGAGTAGAGGTCCATTCTTCTAGTTGGGAGTGAAATTGGTGAACCATGGAAGATGGGAGTAATTGGATATAATCATAAGTGGTGGAACACCGACCTTTTCCAAATGCGCCATTACCCAAATACAAGCCGACTGAGAACGTCCTTGTGAATACCTGCTTGGAAAAGGATCCAATGTCAGCCCATAGAAACATGCACATGGTAAAACTGTAAGCGTAAATGATAAAGACCAGTAAGGTTCCAAAATTCCACAACCACTCTGCAATGCATAAACGCATGCACCATTGTCTCGGGGCCCTCCGAAAAAACAGGACACTTCACACCATCAAAATACTCATCATCAATAAATCCTTCTCTATGAGAATGTCTCATAAGGGAAGATACCCTTTGATGACACGCCATAGCAAAAAACACAGCTTAGGGGGAACATTCAAGGATCATAACAATTTCCAAGTAGGTGCATCAAAGATTGGGGGAATGGTGGAAGGACTATGAATAAAATCGACCGAGGCTACTCTGTAACCTGACTTGACAGAATACTCACCTGATTTCTCATAGTGCCACGCAATATGGTCGACCACAGGTTATATGGGAAGAGAGATATATATGATAATCCTGACCGTATCCACATCAAATAAGGAGAGAAGAAGAGATACATAACCTAGTTGGCCATTAATTATGTACACAGCTGTTTTCCCCAATTAAACTTAACAATTCATAACTCTTTCTTCTTAATTCCGAATTCAGATTTGTTGCACAGGAAATTCAGATATTCAAAATGAAATTCACTTATATTTATTAAAGGCTAAATTACACGTTTGGTCACTCAAATTATAGAAATCTTTCACATTTGCCACCCGAATTATTTTTCTTTCTTATTCGCCACTAACTTTACGAATCGTTTCACCGTTAGTCACCGACCGTTACACTCCGTTAATTTTGTCCTACATGGCAGTCAACTATAAAGTTTGACCGTTAATTAGATGACGTGGAAATTAAAAGAATTAAAAAAATAAATTTATTTTTCCACCTCTTTATTTCAAATCTATTATATTAATTATTTAATAAAAAATAATAAATGATAAATAATAATATGATAATTAATTAATTTTTTATCATATTCTTGACGGACGATGGGAGGCGCCTTTCTGATTAATTAATTTATTTTTTTATCATAATATGATAATTAATAAATGACACTATATTTGGATTTCGATTTCCATTTGGGTATGACAATTAGGGTTACAATGCTGGTTGCGCCTTTCTTAACGGCGTCGGAGGCTGTTGTGGTTGAACTGATGAGGGAATCGAGGCGATGGTAGAACTGCAACTTTGACGGAGGTGGTTTGGCCTTCTCGATCTAGTACTTCTTCTTCAGCGTGTCTATTCGGTTTTTGGACTGCGCCACGAGTTGACTTCGTCGGCGACTTCTTTCCAGTCCTTCTGGCGGAGGTTTTCGCCTTTGACGCTGACGTAGCGATCACCCCACGCCTTGATTAGCGATTCTGCGGCGCCTTCGCTCCAGCAGTCTTCCCGACCACTGTTGTTGCCGCCGCCGCCGCAGGTGCGAGAACGGGAGGTTGAGGGTTCCATTTTTTAGGAGGGGGAAAGGGAGTAGCAGAGATATCAAGTTTGATAAAGTGCATTGGGTTGCCGAAGCAAACAAGTAGGGGAGGCCAAGTTCCTTTGTCAACAGTAGCACTTTGCACAAACCCAGACAGTACATGGAGAAAGCTCAGGAGCGGAGTTGGTGTCGTGGCCGGCGGCGGGGGAGAGGAGGTTGAGGAGGAAGAGGAGTAGCGGAGTGTGATGGTGGTGGTGAGGGTCATGATAAATAAATAAAAATAAATAGTTTATCATATTATTTTTTATTATTTTTTATTTTTCTTAGATACTTAATATGATAAATTTGAAATGATGAGGTGAAAAAATATATTTTTTTAATTTTTAAAATTTCTACGTCATCTAGTTAACGGTCAAACTTTATAGTTGACTGCCACGTAGGACAAAGTTAACAGAGTGTAACGGTCAGTGACTAACAGTGAAAATATTCGTAAAGTTAGTGGCTAATAAGAAAGAAAAGTAATTCGGGTGGCAAACGTGAAAGATTTGTATAATTTGAGTGACCAAATGTGTAATTTAGCCATTCCACAAGCAAGAACCAATCATGGTCAGTAACCCCACTCGTCACTCTCTTCCACTCCACAAGCATATTAGATGTGGTAAACTATAACTTGAAGTTGTACTATGATGTAAACTGTAAAAATCGAAGTTGTATCATAAGAGGATTTGACCTCATCATGTTGTACCCTAATATAAATATACAATTTTAGTTCGTACCGTAAACGAATTTTTGCAAAAAAGTATAAGTATAACCCAAAATTAACTATAACGTTAAAGATACAACTTCAACTTGTATCATAAACACAAAATCTAAAACACCAACATAGTAACTTTTTTCGTAAATTACCTGGAATTGGGAGATGGGCAAAAGTGAGGGGAAACAAAAGGAAATTAAAGCTGCTTACTAATTACTATCACGTATATTTAATAATGTGAAAGATAAGTTGGTTCGTATTTTAGGTGTGCTGAATGATTGATGGGACCTCGAAAATGGATATCCCACTATTTATTTATTTTTTACCAAATCTTTTTCAGATTATTTTATATTATCTAAACCTATCGAAATATTAAGAATTAGTTAAATGTTAACTTTCAGTTAACAATTTTGTTGGTAATATTGACTTGGCAACATGATACTAACTTGGAAGAGACACATGAAGGTCAACATTACAAAATTTTAGTATTAACTAAGAAAAGAGTTACAAAATTATTAACGATAACTTAAAAATGACTAATATTTTAATGCATAACGAAAGATTTAGTTAATTAATAGCATTTTAATAGGTTTGGATAATATAAAAGAATCTAAAAAATGTTAGGGTAAAAAATAGACATTACCATTTTTTTTACTAATATATTCATAACTCGTTCGTATGAATTCAGGTTTCAATATTCTGTAAGATAGATTTTCAATAGTTTTCATAAGAATTGTATTAGTTGAATATAGTATACTTTGAAACAAAACATGCATTCCCACATTGGCTTCCCCTTTCTTTTCTAGGTTGCACACTCCCTTTAATTAAGTAGCATGTACAAAAATAATGTCTATTTTTTATCCAAATTTTTTTCAGATTTTTTTATATTATCTAAATCTATTAAAATTCTATTAATTATCCAAATATTTCATAATGCATCAAAATATTAGCCATTTTTACGATATCGTTAATAATTTTGTAACTCTTTTCTTAGTTAAAATACTAAAATTTTGAAATGTTCACTTCATGAGTCTGAAAAAGGTTTGGATAAAAAATAAACATTACCAAAAAAATAAAAAAAAACTATCATGGTAATTAAAGAAATGCTCAAGAGGTTTTTTTAGTCGGTGGTAACTGTCAAGAACCAATAGATCCCAATAACTCGAGTTGTTGGGAGAAGTTCAATCGTACATCATACGGTTCAGTTCACCATGAGAAATGTATATAGTGTGAAAATATCAAAATAGATTTTTAAAAATCATATCATAAACATTTGTTTCAAAATAAGGAGTAATAGCTGGAATAAGATTATGAGGAAAAAAATAGGATGTGATAACATGCAAAAGGTAATGCGTTCTGATTGTAATGATTTGGGTACTTTGTAAAAAACAAAAACAAAAAATTAATAGATGAAAATTCAAAATAGACTTACCAAAAACAACTTCCTTTATATGATCCATTGCATTCTCATAAACCTTGCTCAAATTAAATCAACCAGCTTTAAAAAGAAACCCAAAATATCAATTACATCTTAAAATTAGTATCAGAAAATAGATCAAATTAATAACCTGAAAACAAAATAAAAAAATATACCGATGAAAACGTAAACAACAAAGTCCACATATATAATAATGTCGTAATTGACAAGCACTGCACAGCCCATATATATCAATAATTCAATATGATGCCTTTCTTTTCAAGACTTCAACCACAAACAAACACAATAAGAAGATATTATTACGAGCAGAAGAGAAAAACCAAACCAACAAACAGGAAAAGACACTATTTCTCTCACAATTACTTGGTTTAGAATCGTCTACGAGCACACAATGCCACACTCAGTGTCCGATTTTTTGTGCAATGCGTCAGAGACTCAGTGCTGCTGGGGAGTGGGGACAATATTCACCAAAGTTTTCTTCGTGTTTCTTCTGAATTTATTTATATATGTGCGTCAGTGTTGCTATCAAGCTGCCTACAAAATCCTATTTGGGATATCCATAATGTAAATTATCTCTTTACTATAATATTTTGTCAAGCTCATTTCTTTATTGTTATCACGTTCGCAAAACAAGGTTTGGATATCAGTCTTATAATTACTTGGTGTAATCTAATTTTAATAAGTACTAACGACTACTGCAATTCAAAAATGTTGACTAAATAAAAAAATACCAAATATCTAGTTACATTATCACAATCCGCAACTAATAAATAATCGAGAAATAAACCGACTTGTTGCTGATTGTTGTAAAATATGAGCATATTTTTCTCCCTCGAAAAGGTAAAATATGGACGTGACTATAAAAACAGCTCATAAAGAAGAAATATAATAAACATAAAAAATGCTCAAACAAACCAAAAAAAATATATATTATGAGCACAATAAGTGGCTGCAGTTCCAATCCCTATCCCACAAAAACAAACGTAGGACAGTAGTCCGAGAATAGTGGATTAATTCCTTAAATACACATAAAAGTAAAACAAAGTCCTAAACTACCATACTTATAAAAAAAATTCTCAAAATACCAAAGTTTGGAGTGGTTCGAGTTTGAGGAACTCGAACTACTAACCGGCTCGAGTGTAGAAGACTCGATCTAGTCGTAGATCGATGATATAAGCCTCGAACCATGTGGGATTGAACTCGAACCACTCATTTGAAATTTCCAACAACCTTAATTTTGTGCTCGGTTATCCGGTCGTAGCAAACTTTTTTTTCATTTCGCATAATTTTTCGAGGGCTACAACTTTTATAATAGAAATATTTTCAGAATATATGTGAAAATGTGAAAATTAAAATTAAAGTTACTCCAAAACCCCTTATTTTAAATATTCCTATTTTGAAAATTTATTCCTAGTAAATGTTGTAGTACTAAAAAAATTATGCAAAAAAAAAAAAAAATTGTGACGTTCGGATTGCGGAGCATAAAGTTATGATCCTCTAAAGTTTGGCAAAATCGAAAAATTGCTTGTTTAGTGGTAACAAATGATGTTTTCTCGGGGCGAAGGCACGGGAATTTTTTTTATATATAGGGAATTTCTGCCAAAAGAGAAATATTTTTCCAAACGAGAAATTTTTGGATGGCTATCTTCCGAGAAAATGTCATTTGCTACCCATAAACGAGCAAATTTTCGAATTTGTCAAACTTTGGAGGATCATAACTTTGTGCTCCGCAATCCGAACGTCGCAATTTTTTTTTAATTTTGCATAATTTTTTGAGTACTATAACATTTGCTAGGAATAAATTTTCAAAATAGGAATAGTTTTTAATATAAGTTATTTTGGGAGTAACTTTAACTTTAATTTTCACATTTTCACATATATTTTGAAAATATTTCTATTATAAAAGTTGTATTCCTCAAAAAGTTATGTGAAATGAAATTTTTTTTGCTACAATCGGATAACTGAGCACAAAGTTAAGGTTGTTGGAAATTTCAAAGAAGTGGTTCAAGTTCACTGAACTCGAACCACTTCAGCCCCACATGGTTCGAGGCATATATCATCGATCTACGACTAGATCGAGTCTCCTACACTCGAACCGGTTAGTAGTTCGAGTTCCTCAAACTCGAACCACTCCAAACTTAGGTATTTTGAGAAATTTTTTTATAAGTGTGATAGTTTAGTAATTTGTTTTACTTTTATTTGTATTTAGAGAATTATTCCGAGAATAGTAAAGCCCCCACCGAAAACCCAAAAAGAAACCCAAAAAGAAGAAGCGCGACTCCATTAATCTCCGAGCCAACGAATTAAGGCCACTCGTATGATATGTAGTGTAGTCCCACAACCACAAATATCTCAACCAACCAACCACTGTAACTAACTTAATTATTCCACAGCCACCAATCACGCTCTTCGGCATTGCAGCTCTCCACGTAGCTCGGCGGCGGCGACAGCAACAGCCCTTCCGCCATTTCCGACAGCAACCTCGGCAGATCCACCACTTCCAGCTCCTCTTCCTCCACACAGTAACTGTACACGTCATCAGCCGCAGTAGTAGTACTGCTAATGCTATGTTCCTCTTCATCGGCCGCCGTGGCCGGACGGAACATCTCGGCGCCCTCCGCCGCCGCCCTCCTTACATCGGTGGCGCCGGGTGAGATCGGATGGGGAGGCGCCAGGCGGAGTCGGCGAAGTTGAGGCAGGCCGACTTCCCGCGGAAGGCCAGCGCTGCCACGTCATGGGCCCGGGCCGCCATTTCCGGGTTGGTGTAGGTTCCGAGCCAGACACGTGTCCCGGTGTTGGGCTCGCGAAGCTCGCAGACCCACTTGTCGCCTTTCCGGCTCCTCACGCCACGGTACACCGGGTGGCGCGTCTCCCTGAAAACCCTCCTCCCCGTCCTCTTCTTCGGCACCTCCGCCGCAAGCTGGTGGCCGTGATCGTGACGATCCTCCGTCGGCGGCGTCGCTTCTCCGATGCTGATGTCACCGTCGGACTCTGGGGAGAGCAAGGGAGAATCGGAGTAGTGGAGCTGCTTACTGCTGAAGAAGACCATATCTGATCCAACAAGCTCTAGTTAGTTAGCTAGAGAGTTGTGGTGTTGAGGGATTTTTGTATTATAATAATCAATTGAATTGGCGGGCATTTTATAAGGAAGAGGAAAGAGGAAACAGAATGAATAAAGGAGCAAGGCTCAATTATACCATTGAACTTTTCTTTGATATAAAAATCTGCCCCCTTCATTTTGATTTTTAGCACTAGTGTGGGTTCTTTTTTTTATGTGCTAGGACTAGGGACAATACAAGTTTTAAGTTGTTGAAAATTCATTAAATGAATCCACGACATGTGTTAGAACGTGGTATAAGATCCAGCAGAACCTTCTTCCAACAACTCGAGTTATCATGCAAATTTAGGGACTAGGTACCATACAAGTTTTAAGTTGTTGGAAATTCATTAAATGAATCTAAGATATGCAAATTTTGGGCCAAGACCCTTAGAAGGAGTAAAACATTGGAAAACAGGGCCCAACAGCATATATAGCTCCAAAATGAAAGGCTCATAAATGTCACATTTGGTCATTGTGATTACTAAACCGTGTCATGTTTAGTCACTAGAAAAATTTAATATCAATTTTGGTCACTCGAAATACTGAAACCGGTCATCTTTAGTCACTCTTTCGCTAGCCTCTGTCCAACTCCAGTCACTCGAATTACTGAAACATGTCACATTTAGTCACTCGGATTATTGAAACATGTCATATTTAGTCACTCTCTCGTTAGTTTCCGTCCAACTCCATTAATTTCCATTAATGGAGTTGGACGAAAACTAATGGGAGAGTGACTAAATGTGACATGTTTCAGTAATTCAAGTGACCAAAATTGATATTAAATTTTCCTAGTGAATAAACATGACTCGATTTAGTAATCTCAGTGACCAAATGTGGCATAAACCCCCCATAAAGAGGTAGGACTGGCTATTTAGTCCGAGCTTTTTGGGTTTACCGAAAATCAGACCGTGTAACCCAGACCGAAACGGACCGATACCGAATAGCAAACAATCCAATCTCATCTTCAGGTTTAGATTTGAGGTTAAAAAAATCATTTAGGATCGGATCGAAAACTGGATAAAGACCGGATAAGAGAGCCCAACACCCAAAACTTAACCAACTCCTCACCTTTTGAGGTCTCAAGCCACTCAAAATTTCACAAACTCAATCTGAAATCAAGACCGAATTGGGACCGGACTGTATCCAATCCAATCTTTGATCCTTATATTCCCGAAAAAGACCGGACCGGAATCGGATCAATTCAGACCAATTGAACAGGATCGGACCGTAGCCACCCCTATAAAGAGGCCACACGACACAAGCCAACCGAGTAGAGATTAAAGCTCAATCACAAAACATGCTTGAACAAGTAACCTAACCAACTTATCTTTCATTCCAAATGAGAGGAGCAGCAGCCGCACAGGGGAGACTCCCTAACCACCGGCGGCTGGACAAGTGCAGCAAGACAGTCGGCGATGAGAATCGATGACCGACCAAGCCTGTAGCCGCGGGAACCTCAAAACCAACCAGATCCAAGAAATCACATGCATAAGGACGATAGAAAAGGATCCCAAGTGGAATAAACCTCGCCTTCGAACTCTTTGAAACTGAAACCATGGGAGAACACAATAGGATTCTCAAATCTTCTTCAAAACACCGCAACGGTGAAGCAAGTAGGAAGCACAAAAACATGAAGGAGAAAGCAGATTGAGGAAGACTTCAACCCCTATGTGATCTAAAAAACATCTCCAAGTCGGTCTAGAAGCTCAAACTTGAGGAAGAAAGAGAAGCACACGTTATGGAGAAGAGATAAGAAAAAGCTCCATACATATGAAGCAACGAAAACAGAAGGACAAAGCAAGAGGAAAATGTCCTTTTATTGGATATTACGAAAAATGCTACTTCTACAACATTCGATAACAACAGGTTTTTGTTGCTCATAAAAGTTTCCTTTTATAAAAAAAAGAGAGTTCCAATATTTGAATAAATTGTTAGGATCAAATTTGTAGAATTGAAGAGATGAATGACAGGTGAACAAAAATCAAACATAAGAGTTGAAAAGAGAGTCGTTGTTGAACCTATTCAAGTATCATAAGTTATGAAAGTTTTAGTAGATTCTGCATTGATTAGTCTAAGATGAGTGGATTTCCCATTACCAGTGGCGGATTATTGACTTTCATACACCGAGATAACCTCACAATCTACAAACAAGTCATATCATGATGTAGTGGCAAAACTAGCTAGGACTTAGAGTGAGGAAATGCGAGAAAGTACAAACTGCAATGCAACAGTTTTTCACGATTGAATCTTAATGGTTGAGGAGAGGCTAGCAACTTGACTCGTACGAAATTACATCACAAATTAATTCCGACTAGAGCTCAAGTTTTTAAACTCTAGTCGGTGCATTATAGAGCAAGTATTTAAATTGTCAACCCGGGCCGGTCCATGTACCCCTACTTCAATTGCTCAAATTGTTATCTAGCAAAACGGTTTTGGGTTTTCAAACTAAGAAAACTACAAACTAAACAAGTAAAGAAGAGTAAATAAAGGAAAATCCTAACTAAGAGAGCTTCACTCGGGTGTCGCTTCCCCCTAACTAGCTACCGTGACTCGAGAGGGATACAAATTTGAGCTCAAGATGTTCTTTTTCTTCTAGACATGAATCTCTACTCAAGCCTCCAATGGTGCTCCAATATCTCTCTCTCTCTCTCTCTCTCTCTCTCTCTCTCATTAGAACTCCCCTTTGTTGTTTTTGGGTAAACCCTAGAGAGAGAAACCAATTCGAGAGGAGACCGTGAACTGCCTTGTCTGGCCGTGAACAACGGCTGTTTCCTGGACGCCTGCACTTTATTATGGGGCAATTGTCACGGTTTCGGACTTTTCTTCGGGTTTTGCGCTTTTTTTTACCTCCAATTATCCCAAATTTGACCTCGACCCTTCCACACGTGCTAGGACCTGAAATGTATCAAAACAAGCATAATCTAGCATGAAATATGCCGAGAAACGATGAAATATTAAGCTAAACGAATAAAAAATGAGGGTTAAAATGTGTACATTTAGACCCGAATCACAACCGCACCCCATCCTACAATTTTTAAATGTTTTCTCAAGATTCGAATACACACATCATAACGGTTGTTATATATGAATAAATAAAAATTAAAGTGGCTTGTCACTTATCCTAAACTAGTAACTCCACCACTACCATGATCTAACTCTGACTAATGGCACGAGGTTAGGAATTTGGAAATGGAATCCATGTGCACAAACCAATCGGTGTACATATCAATGTATTCAAAAGCGTGTTTTTACGTAGAAGCGGTTTGTTGATCTAGAAGCGTAAAACTGTAGGCTTTTAAGTTTTAAAGCGCGTTTTTAACTACATTAGCTATAAAAACGAAGATTTTGTGTGCAAGCGTTTTGGTGACTCATAAACGTAAAAGCGTAAATTTTTAAGTATTAAAACGCGATCTTGACTACATTAGTACCTACGAGTACGTACCCAAGGACTAGTAAACCATCTTTTGCAAATGGAGTTTCAAGAAGAAATCCGACACAGATGGCTAGTGCAGTCAGCAAGCTTGAGAGCATTGCTTCCCGTGACATGATTACACTCCTGCAAAACTAGCACTCAACGTCGCCTGAATATTCTGTTTACCTAAGCATTGGTGTCATTGTGTCAACTTGAGTATCAAATCATTTTATTTTATTTTTAATTCATTGAGGAGACGCGCGGCCCCCAACTTGGCAGCCATGTCAACATGAACATTAACGATCAACCTAAAAATCGACCAAAACTATATATCATTTTCAAAACACGAATATATTTATCGTTCAATATTTTATGTCAAGATTATCCTTTCATGCCGAGTCCAGACTATACAAACTACAAAAAAACCGTTAGATTGGTTTACAACGAACATCAATTATACGTACCTTCAATCCAACTTCCTTTCAACCAACACATATGTGCTCAACAAACAAATAAAAGATATTTATAGGCACACAAGACCAGTCCCTTTCCCCTCCCTCGTCCCAATAAACATTGGACGAGAATCCTAAAACGACAACCAAATTGAAAAACGAGAGAAAAGAACACCAAGACTATTCCCCTTACAACTTGGTGCAGAATGCTTCAGCAAACAAGGACGTACGACGCTCGTCATCTCACATTCTCACTCCACTGCTTTAAAATTTCACGAGTACTACAGTAACTTTTTTTTTTTTTGGGACAACTCAAGTATATAACTAGTACAGCAATTACTAACTCCACAGCGACCAATCATATTCAGCAGCAATGTTATTATCACCACCGGACCTCTCCTCCACGTAGCTCCATCCGCCTCCATAGCACGGCGGCGGAGACAGCAGCAGCCCTTCCGCCATCTCCGACAGCAACCTCGGCATCTCCAGCTCCTCCTCAGCCTCCACGTAAAACACCACATCATTTCTATAGCTATCACCACCGTTGTCAACATGTTCCTGCTCGTCCGCGGCCTCCGTCTCGCTGCCGCCGCCGGGGCGAAACATCTCGGCGGCCTCGGCCGCCGCCCTCCTGACGTCATCAGCCTCGGTGGAAGCCGGGATGGGAAGTCGCCAGGCGGAGTCGGCGAAGTTGAGGCAGGCCGACTTCCCGCGGAACGCCAGTGCCGCCACGTCATGGGCCCGGGCCGCCATTTCCGGGTCCGGGTAGGTTCCGAGCCAGACACGTGTCCCGGTGTTGGGCTCGCGAAGCTCGCAGACCCACTTGTCGCCTTTCCGGCTCCTCACGCCTCTGTAGACCGGGTGGCGCGTCTCCCTGAAAACCCTCCTCCCCGTCCTCTTTTTCGGCACCTCCGCCGCTAGCTGGTGGTGCTGCTGACTCCCCGACGATGACGTGGCGGCGCTGCCGGCGGAGGAGGATGAATCGTGTGATGACTGCGGCTGCGGCTGGGAGTGTTGAGTGCTGTTGAAGACTAGAGGCATATTTGATTTTTAGGGAGAAAGGATTTGTGTTTAGTGTATAAAGTTAGGAGTGGAGTGGGATATATATAGGGTTCGGGGCCACGCGTTGGCTCGCTGCATGGGAGGAAGGAGGGAAGAGGAGTGGGCCCGGGAGAGATTGAAACGTATCACGCGCTCTCTCTCTATTTACATAAATGGTCACAATACTTTGGGCTCACGAGCACTAGGCCACCGAAATTTTATTTTCTGAACGAAATATCATCGCTGAAGTTTTTTTTTTTTTTTTTTGACAACTTCGCTGAAGTTTTGGAAGGATTGACTAACATTACAACTACGGTGAAAATGAGTGAAACGGTTTACTAGCGATTTGGTGTTTGTTTCGGAGGAAAACTCGTTTATTTACAAACAAGTTCAAATGAGGTTAAAGTTCTATTCGATTCGGCTCGTTTGGAGACCCAATTACTCTTCTTCGTGTGATTGTTGGCATGTGCGTATCAACTATCTATATTAAGAGCGAAATTAAAAGAAAAGAGTCGCGAATACCCTCATGTTAGATGGATATATGCCAGTTAGGCTATACGAAATGGATAACGAATGTTGTGTTTAATAATGCAAATTGGAACCGGATGAAGTGGAGAGAGTTTGGAAACGGTAGAATATGAGTTGAAATATATAAGTTGTCCTTTGTTGTTTTAGTTTAAGTATGGGTTTGACTTTGAATATGCATGGTAACCTAGATGGTATGAACAAAAACCTAATGCGATACATACAAAAAAAACTTACTACGTATATTAGGTGATTTAAAATTTCAATGGCAAACGGTTAAAAGCTAAAGAATAGGTAACCTATTTGTTAAGATTGTAAAATTTAGTGATCGTTTACGTATTTGACCACAGAAAATATCTGGACACTGGAGACTGGGAAAATGATTGGTTCCTGTTTTTTGTGTGGGCTGTGGAGGGCTCAGGCCTCAGTGTTAGGACTTTGGACAGCACAGTTTCTTTTGGGTTCTGTTAGTTTTTTAGTGTAGTACTAATAATTGGGCTTTAGCCGTTTGTCTCCCGAATCAATTTTACTGGAATTGCTGTAGCTGAAAGCCCTTCCTCGGCAGTCGGCAGGAAGTTGAAACCATCGTCTGCTTTTTAGGATTTGGACTATTGTACAAAACCTCATTTATTAATTTGTTCGTACTACAAAATTAGAGTGATATAGGTTTAATTTTTGTTCGAACTACAAACCTAGATCTAAGAGCATCCATATCAATGCAGTTGTAAAATTTATTGTGTGTTTTTATTGTTACCTTAATGTTTTTGGCTTTCATATGCAATTGTATTTGTTGCAACTTGCAAGCTAGTAAATATGCAATAGGTAATCACATTGATACAGTTGATTTTGCAATAGCACAAACCATGTCATGTCATCTTCAAATTGGAAATGCAAGATCAACTTTGATTCTTTAATGGTTGTATTTTGAAAAGGGAGATTTAATGGTCAATATTATAAAGGGATATTGAAGGATAAAAAAGGGCATGTCAGGATTTGGTTGCCCGCTGTCTGGATTTTCGGATGGGCTAGCACAAATTCCTAAGCATTTTTCAAATCTCCTACAAAAATTCAGCGGATTATAGCATATTTGTGTTATGTCAACTTTCAAAAGATTCTGTAGAAAAATCATATTTTTGTGCTCTATAAGATGATATGTATTTTGATATTTTTTGGAGCAAATTTTTTTTTCCAGGCCGTTATATAAGTTTATATCATGTTTATGTCATTCATATCAAGATCGTATTAGTTCTATGTCAGTCATATCAATATCATATCAGTTCGTATAATTTGTATCAATATCATATCACTTCATATCATTTGTATCAAGATCATATAAGTTCATATTATTTTCATATCAATTCATATGAGTTCATATCAGCTCAACTCAGTTCAATATTATATCAGTTCTTACCAAGTTCATGTCATTCATATCAAGATCGTATCCGTTCTATATCATTCATATCAATATCATATCAAGCCCACTAAATATCCAGATCTGGCTAAAATCAGCAACACAAGCTTGCAACATCGCAAAACACCAACAGTTATGCCATCTCTTTCGACAAATCCAACAGCTCCCATGCTCCGACGAAGACATCTCTTATCTCGTTAGTCTCTGTCATCTCTAATCCTCGCCTCAATTGATGCGCCTCCGTCGACAATCTTCCCAACAACCCACTGCGCAATAGAGAAAGAAGAATGACCATCCTTTGTATATCGCCTGTTGGGTTTCGATGAATAAAGGTTGGGAGATTCGATCAACGACAATCCTTTGCATTTTTCTGTTTTTTGAATCACGTGGTCGAAGGGAGAAGTGAGAAGATGGAGATAATTATAAGAGAATCAAAGGGACTAAATACTGACACCGAGTTTTCACATAACCGGACAGTAACCTTTAACCGGTAAACCGGTTAGTCGATCGTTTCTCCGTACCGGTTGTCGGCAGCAAATTAAGTCAACTCAATATACCGACTACTGACCAATTACCAGCCCTACTAGCCACTCTTGTTTCTCAAACAGTAAATCTCCTTTCTCTTGAACTCACATCACACACGTTTTTATCAATTACCATATAAGAATGAATCGACAAATTCATTCCCATACCCACACGATTATTTCATTCTCATACCCGCACGAATATTACTCATATCCTTCATCGCAAAAAAAATGTCATTTGCTACCCCAAACCGGCTATTTTTTTTTCCGCCAAACTTTTGGAAGATCGTAACTTTGTGCTCCCCAGTCCGATCATAAAAAAAAAATATTGTTCTTAACTTTTTAAGGACCGCAAAATTTTCTATAGAACTATTTTCAGAATGTATGTAGAAATTAAATATTATATCATTCTCTAAACCCCTTAATTCAATAAAATGTCTTCTTTTGTAAATTTCTTCAACGTAAAAGTTGTAGATTTTGAAAAGTTATGCGGAATAAAATAAATTGCTACGATCGACAACTGAGCGCAAAGTTATTATCGATTGAAAGTTTTGGACCTAGATTAGAAGTGGATCATGGGGCTGACCAACGATCTGATTGGTTCGCTAGGGTCACCCGCAAACCACGCTCGTTTTGAAACTTTTTTGTAGTTTCGCGATCCGGCCCCTTCGAATGTGGTTCGCTCCTGTGTCAAGCGAACCACTACCTAGTTCACTGACAATGTTTCTTTCATTCGCTCACTCTATTCTTTTTCTGATAGCTAAGTCTCTCCGGTTGTAATTTTCCAATTACATATGGAGCTTCTAGTCGCAGATTGGTCAACTCCGCACACAACCTGTTGCTGCTCGTTGACCATATTATAAAAAGTAAATGCACGAGTAATAAGGATGTATTTTGTATGATAAATAAATATATATTTCACATTGCTTTGCACATTACAACAATTGCAACGCTCGATTGTCAAACCCCAAAAGAAGAAGAAGAAAAGAAAAGCAGCAAAAATTACTACATCGGCACAAAAAAGGTACTCATTCTCAAAATCAAGCAAGCACTTTTCTAGTTTCTACAACTTGGTAGCAGAATTTGTCCAAGCAAACAGATCGTGGCCGCAATGTAAGAATTAGTTCCACAGCGACCAATCCTGATGATTATTGGAACTCTCCCCGTAGCTCCACTGATCACCGTGACTCTCCTCCATCCCATAGCTCGGCGGCGGAGGCAGCAGCAGCCCTTCCGCCATCTCCGACAGCAGCCTCGGCATCTGCAGCACTTCCTCTTCGTCCACGTAATGACCCCCATTACCATCGTAATTCCAGCTGTAATCGTAATTACAATTCCCGCCACTACTGCCACCGGAGCAATCATCTTCGCCGGCCGAGCAATAGTATCCCTCCTGCGCCTCCGCCGGGCGGAACATCTCCGCAGCATCGGCGGCGGCCTTCCTGACGTCCTTGGCATCGGTGGAAGCAGGGGCTGGGAGCCGCCAGGCAGAGTCCGCGAAATTGAGGCAGGCGGACTTCCCGCGGAATGCCAGGGCCGCCACGTCATGAGCCCGGGCCGCCATTTCCGGGGTCGGGTAGGTCCCCAGCCAGACACGTGTCTTGGTGTTGGGGTCGCGGAGCTCGCAGACCCACTTGTCGCCGTTCCTCTGCCTCACGCCCCTGTACACCGGGTGCCGCGTCTCGTTGAACACCTTCCTCCCCGCCCTCTTCTTCGGCACCTCCGCCGCCAGCCGGTACTGATCCTGATCCTGATCCGCCGCTGCTCCTCCGCCGTAGGATATCATTGACGAATCGTAGGATGACCACTGGTCGGAGTACTGGTTGCATTGACTTCCGAAGAATGAATCCATTTGGTTGACTAGTGAAAGTTGGGATTTGGTTTTGGGAATTGGAGGAATTGGAAGTTGGAAGTTATTCTGGAGTTGGGAAGTGGCGGGAATCTGGTATTTATATAAAATGGCGACTGGCGACTGGCCATGGGAAGACCGGACACGGGTTGGCCGGAGGAAAGGGGAAGAGTAAAGTTGGGGAGTGGCATCCCACGGTTTATCCACAAGGTTTGTACTTAATTAACGATGAAGAAAAGGGAAAATGATTTCCTATTTTCTGACGTGGTGGGCCAGTTGGACTGTTAATTGGCTTGTTCGTTGTTTGTCACTTTAGGAAGGAGTCTTTTTGGGTGCCAGCTAGGCGTTTCCCCGAGTGACTGCAGTGTTGTTTTTTCAGTGTCCTGTCTCCCATTCTTATTTCACCACGTGGTTTTGATTTTGCATTGTGAAATTGTAAAATATTGTAAAGCGATTTTCAGGTGATTCTTTTTGTGGCTTGCAATATATATATAAAACTTAATTTGGTAGGTCGTCGATTACGTAAGGAATGATGATGAGTGTTAATGATTAAGATTATGGATTAGTTTTTATTTATTTGTATGATTCTTACTTGCTTCGACTTGGGAACGGGTGGTAGCGAACTAGTGATGAAATGGAGTGAAGCAAAATACGTACTTACTGATGCGCATATGTAACTTTAGTTGTTTTTTTCTACGCAAAAGGATTACAGAAATGTTCGTTCTATCTCGACTAGAAGAAATAAATAAAAAAACTAGATTCTCAACTTGTTTGTGTGTTGATAAGTTTGCAAAGACCTTCAATAGAGTTTATAACTTTCCTCGATCCGACATCTAAAAGTTGACAGTATCAATCGAATTCTATGCTTTTGTTTAATACCATGATAATTTTGGCAACATTACTTATTTGAAGAGACGGAGCTTACCGTTGTCAAGTAAATGCTCTCGCTGTCGAACCGAAGAGGAAAAACGAATGTGTATCACCTCCGTGATAAATATACATATCAATTCATCAAAATATTAAATATGTAGTTTAGACATTAATTATAAGTGATTATCTCTATTTGAGTATGTTTCTTTAGTAAATGACGAAGTGCGGCTGATATAAACAAACAAACAAAAACTTGCAGTTGGTGGCCGGGTGAGTGTACGACAGCTGGTAAATAATTTAGGTTATTAGTAAGTTAATTTACTGGATCCAGTTAACTGATTTCATAATCATGCTTAAATATCGTTTTCAGTGTGGAAATAAAGACTAATCCTAATAGTTACGAGTAGAGAACAGCAAGTAAGAATTTCCGTTTATCGTTTGGTTTCTATTTTAAGAGGGACCGGACCGGACCGGTCCTATAAACCATACACGTAATAGTAAAGCCTTTTTTCTTTCTAATTATAGCTGTTGGTGGTGACTTGCAATTAATGACTATGTGGAACAAATCAAATAGTACAACTTGTGGATCTAAATCCAACAGTACACCCACAATTCTTTTCCTATAGAATAAAACGTTAGTGCGTAGCGTATTTAGAGTGTTGCCATCGTGTGTACTAACTCTGCTTTTCAATCAATCTTTTAAATATAATTAAGCTCAGGATGTTCATATAATTAACTAATTAGTTGCTAGCTACTAGTACTGAGTGGGATATATAAATACAGAACTTACAGAAGATAATCCCGACAGCTAATACTACTTAATTTAACATAATATCTAACAAATTCAATTCCATGTAAGGGAGAATCACGTTTTTTAAATTGGGTGTCTGTAATGCATGACGGCAAGAAGAAAAATAACAAATTCGAAGATATCGGAGAAGCAAAAAGTGACGACGACATGACGTCAATGACTAGGAGTCGGTGGGCAGTGGCGGAACCATAAAGTTGAATGAGCGGGGTGTTATCTGTGGCGGAGCCACTTTGCAGGCAGGAGGGGCTATAGCTCTCCTCAAGTCTCAAAATTGTGTAAATTTACATGTAAATTTGTAGCGAATTGGGAAAATAGAGTAGTTGATAAGACTTTAACCCCCCCCCCCCCAACCCGGTTCGAATCCTTGAACGTAAATTTTTATCCCCGCTCGTTCAGATTTCTGGCTCCGCCACTGGGTGCTATGTTACAATCCAAGTACCATATCGTATATACATGAAAAATCACTCTTGTATATTAGTGTCCACCAATCTCATTAATACGAGGCCTTTGGCTGAACCCAAAAGTAAATCTATACGAGATAGGCCCAAATTAAACAATATCGTATTGATAGAGCTATTATTCGGTCAACAATTTATCGGTTAAACTAAAAAGTAAAAACTGAACCAAAACCGCTGACTATCAATTTAGTCAAAATCCAATTATCACTTAAATGAATGGTTATCAATAATGAATAAGGGATAATCAATTAAACCGCCTATACTCAATTATTAACCTATTGTAAAACGATTAACCGACTAACATTCTAAGACTCGACCCAACTACTTAACTACCCATCATCATTCATAACTGAACATTGGGCTTGGGCTATAAAAGCCAAATTTTAGTCAAGGCAGCAAAGAGCAAACTACCAAAACGAACTTTGCATACAAATGGCTCCAAAAATAGCGGCCCAAATGAATCGGGCTTCTTATTTCTTAATGGATTCCATTGCAATCCGTTAAAACTTAAAACTAAGATGTGAACAGAGCAGCAGATGCATGCATGTGCTGGTGCAGGCGGACGAACCGCCAATGTATTACAGATGTTGAGTTCCATTTGTGCGCGATAGCATATATGTTAGTTGTCATTTGGCAGTAGGATGGCAATGGATCGGGTTGGGTTGGGTTTTGTCAAACCCAAACCCAAATTCATGGGTTTATCCGTGAAAAAAATCTGGGGTAAAACTCACTGGGTTTGAAAAACTCAAACCCAACCCAACCCGTTGGGTATCCGCGTGTTCATGGGTACCCACGGGTTTTTGTTGTAAAAAATTCACAATAACAAGTTCCTATCAAAATTAACGTCAAATATCAATCTCTCAATACAAATTATCCATATATAAATCACCATTATAGAAAATTCAAGCAAATCACAAATTAACTATACAAATTGTTCAACACCAATCTAGAAAACTCAAGAAAATTGAAGCAAATCACAAATTATCCATAAATAACATGATTAATTGAAAGCTTCTTTCTTTCAATTAAGTTTTTCAATCTCCACTCGATAACATCAAATTCATTCTACACAACTAGAAAGAAAAAATTAGACATGTCTCCACAAACATAAATAAGATTAGTTGTTTAGAATATTAAATATGCCGAGAAAAATAATTATATGGGTGTGGGTGGGTACCCATGGGCCGGGTTTAGCTAAACCCAAACCCAACCCAACCCGGTGAATAGTGAACGGGTTTAAACCCAAACCCACCCCAAAACCCGTCAACACGGATTTTACCCGCGTTGACCGGGTTGGGTGGGTACCCGTGGGTTCGGGTTTTATTGCCATCCCTATTTGGCACCGAGTTCAGAAACTGAAGCTGTTGCGGTTTATACATCGACTTAGTACTGGACCTAATTGTCATTAGTTATAGTTGATGGCAGTGAAGTGAAGTTTACCAATTATTATGGCCGAACCTTAGTTGTAGTTGGTGTACGGGTTAGGGCTTGAGGTATATATATTCATCTTGCATGCTACTGCATCAGAAAAGTTGAGTGTGTAAGTTGATTAATGAGAAGTTCTTGAGTAGCTTACCACGTAAATCGATCTTGTTATTTCGTTTTTCGAGTTCTACTTATTTTACATAGTATCGGAACCTGTTGTTTGGTTATCCACGTAGGAAAAGAATGGTTCATTCGTACGCTCAAACTTCAAGTGATATTTTTTCTTACAAAACCCCTCTTGTTGAGAATCCTGCTACTGGTTTTTTGTGCCGTCTTTGGTTACAAAGTTGTTTTGCTTTGATGCTGCGGGAAGAAGACGGGGGATGTTTGATGCTTAAGCTTCTTATTATATGCGGAATTGCCAAGTAATGGGATTAATAGTTTGAGAAATGATGATTGAGCTCTGGAAATTTCCCAACAGTGAGGGCAAATTTGCCTCCTTTAAATTTTGGTATGATCTTTTAAAAGTGCTTTAATAGTACGACTGAAATCCAATTAATCTAAAACGAATTTGATTTTTCTATTTATATTTTGAAACTCAATGTAAGAGAAATGAAATATAGTTCGTGTAATTTTTATAGGAGAGAAGATTTAAAAAGTGTTTTAAAAATACAACCGAAGATAAGAATTAGCCCAAAAATCTTGTGAGTTGTACCAAAATTTCTTATTTCCCTCATGCACAAACGGTAGATCACTTATAGCAGTTAATGCCCCGAGTCATAAAACTAAGCCAGTTGTATCAGTCACAAGAAACATTTAGTCTGCAAATTGAATAAATTCGTTGAAACAAGCTAGTAGACAATATAATTATAAATTAACTCAGTTTCTCCTTGTTATTAGTTTTATTCACTCTTATGCAGCCACAAGAAACATTTAGTCTACAAATTGAATAAATGTGTTGAAACAAGCTAGTAGACAATGTAATTATAAATCAACTCAGTTTCTTCTTGTTGTTAATTTAATTCAATTTAACGCAGATTATTACTCACTTTTTACATGTTCTTCTGGCGGTAAGATTTTAGCTAGCTCTTTTTTATTTACGTGGATGACATCATTTTAACGAGTAATGATGTTGATGCAATAAAAATTGACAAACCATCTCTTGAAGACACATTTAAAACAAAAAATGTTGGTGCTCTCAATTATTTCTTAGAGTTGGAAGTTGGTCGTTCATCTATAGAAATTTCGTTAGGTCAACGAAATGGCTGTATAGTACTAATGAGCAACGAGTAATCTCCCTTTGCTTTTATTGAATATATTGTAAGGCATAGGTACATACATACACAAGCATCTCACAAACATAAATCGCGTAGGAATAATATTGGACCTACTTAATTGGCTTCATTCACATGATTAGGCCATCGGATCCTAATTCCTAAGCAAATACGATTGTAATTAAAAGGCAACGATTGAAAGAAAATCTTAGCAAATACGAGCAGCTTAGC